GTCATCCCAAACACCAAATTTTGCTTGGGTGTTCAACCCCCCAGTCAGGGCACATCCGGGAGGCAACAGATGTTTCTCTCACATCCGTGTTTCCCTTTTTCTCTTTCTCTCTCCCCCCACTCTCACCACCCTCTCTCCCCCTCCTCACTAAAATTAATTAAACATATTCTCAGGTGAGGGTCTTAAAAAAAAACAAAAAAAACACCCTGCCCAAATATTCCTACCAAAATGCCCTCCCCAGTACTCTCCCCAGCTGTACCTGCCCAGTAACTGGCTCCAGCTGCTGCAGCGTGGCCAGCACAAACACTGCCGTCTTTCCCATGCCTGACTTGGCCTGGCATAGGACATCCATTCCCAGAATGGCCTGAGGGATGCACTCATGCTGAACTAAAAGAAAAAAGATAAATCAGACCCTCCTAGTTCCTTCCAGCTTTAGCCTCCTCCAGCTCCAACCAACCCCTGCCCCCAGTCCTAACAACTCATCTGCACTCTGTCCTTATTTTCCTTCATCTTAAATAATCCATGATATCTGAGTGCCTGCCACAGGCCATTTCTCATACTTAGGTTGCCATGCTTCGGGTCATGTAACCCTACTGAATGAAGAACTTGGTACCTGACCTAGAAGCCAGCCACCTTTAGACCAGCCATAAAGGTTTCCAGAGACTAGAGTTGGCCTGGCCCCAAAGAGGAGAAATACAAGTAGAGCCAGCTCCTCTCCAGAAATTTAAAATTGCAAGTCAAAGTGATAAAATTAAAAACTAGCAGACAAGGGAAAAAGCCAGTCACCAGATGAACGGTAGTCCTCTAAGGTGCTGGATCACCAGCACTTCCACACTATTATAAATAATACCACCCTATACAAAACTCTTCTACTGATAATATAGTTTCTGGTACTTCCAGTACTTCCCTGTTCTCTAGTCTATCCTAAATATATATCTGTGTTACTAAGAGGCCATGAACACATCTGTTTCTAGGACCTTTAGAGCACCTAATGAATACTCTATGCCCAAGATGAAATTTACCTTCTGATGGATGCTCAAAGCCACAGTCGACAATGGCCCGGAGCAACTCTGGCTTGAGCAGGAAGTCCCGAAAGCCAGAGCTATGGATGGAGACATAGGAGCCCTTAACATCCTTCTTGGCAGGGGCCTCAGTCCCATCTCCCCCGGCTGCTGTCTCCACCTCATCATCTTCATAGTCCAAGAGCTCATTGTCCACATCATTCTCTGCCATAACTGGGCGGCAGGCAGATCAAGAGCGAGGGGGTGTCTGAATGGGTTCACGTAGAATAAGTGAAAACAAGGGAGGAAAGTGGGAGCTTAAGGAACAGAAGATACACTAGTTTGACAGAAGAGCTAGGAAAAAAAAGAAAAAAGACATCAGTCACAAGAAGACAAGCAGAGCCTTCAGCACCTCTTTTGCATCCTCCCCAGACCCCACTTTCCCTAAACTATGAAACCTTTACTTGGCAATAAAAGTAACAAAACACAAAACATAAAAGTAAAAGCAATACATGGAACAGAAAAAATGATTTCAAGGGAGGTAGCCAGGTCACAGGTTCCCAACAAGATTAGGATCAGAGTAGGAGAAACCAGGAAGTTGGAAGGGGAAGTTCAGCTTATAAACTCACCTGTAAATAACAACATTAAGGAAAAAGAATAGGTAATAAAAAGTATAACATGACGGGGTGAAGAATGTAAGTAAAATGAAGACAAGTCCTGAAAATCCTCAAAGAAAGACCCTGTTGCCCTTTCACTATAATCTCAAACTATCAACCCCTAAAGTAGCAGCCATCAGTCAAGGGTGATAGATCAACGTCATCACTGCGCAAAGCGCTCACTTGTCAAAATGAAAACATCATGTGGCTGCCCTTCACCTCCCACAGCTCAACAGCCTCCCATTCAGTGACCTCCACCTGCAGCCTAAGAAATCGCTATGTAATTATTTAGTGGCGGGAGTGGAGGTAAGAGAAATGGCTCTGCCGGGGGGCGGGGGGGGGGAGGAGTTCATCTCTTCATCATACCATGAATAACGTAACAGCTGAGAGGATGACACTTAGCTTTAACTTAGCCTTAACAGGCCTCACATCACCGCTGCGTCACTCCTCAGGTGAGACTCCTTTCCGAAAAACAGTGACACCTCTCGAAAACATTTGGAAAGCGCCCCATATAAAGGTGAGCAAGTAGAGATAAAAAAAACTCCAACTGACCCACCGCGGGCCAAAAGGACCCAAAAATCAGAAGGGGCGTGAAAAGAGCCCCGCCCTCCGCAAAATGCCCAGGACAGAGGACGCCTAGCGCCGCCTTTCACCGTCGCTAGGGCCTCCAGTAAACAAGGGACCCACCGGAGGCGCCGAAAGCGAGGGAACACAATGGCGCCGAGGCCACCATCTTGAATTGAGCCTGTCTAGCTTCCCTACCCGCCCCCGGGGCTCTTTGCTCTCGAAAGGGATGCAAGTGATGAAAATAACGACCAAACTAGGCCCCACAGACCAGGCTATAGCCTGTGGAAGGGGCATCAGGAGCCCATGCAATAGCATGGATGCAGAGAAACGCAGATGGAAATGGATGGTACTGAAGGCCAAACCTTACCTGAGCAAGGCGAACGCATATGGCGGCAGCAACAGCAACGAAGGAGGGAACCTGCCTTCACTTCCGGTTCCCGGTTTCCCTCGACCCCGGCCTTCCGCCTTCTGGGCTGCCAGTGAGCAGGCGCAAGGGACGGCAAGGACCTTCCACAGTTCTGTAGTTCTGCGCTCTATAGGGTTGCCTTTAGAAACTGCCTGTCTGAAATATTTTTTTAAATTCACTTCTAACTCCTCCACTACTGTCAGTGACAAAAGACATAAAGGAAACTAGCACCCCCTTCCACCGATATCTTTTTCTCTTGTCCTACTCTTCTCCACGCCCCTCATCTCTTTATATGTTCTTGCCGAGAAGGTCTTCTCTCTGGGCACCCCTCTACAGCAAGGGACGAGGCTGGCGGCGCTGCGATTTCCCACGGGGTCCTAGGCCCGGTAGTCAAGGTGACCTGGGGGCGTCCACGCTGGAGCTAGAGAAAGTCGACCCCAGCTTGGGTGAGAACTATCGGTGCTCAGCGGCCCTGCCCTTACTTTTTTCGCAACCATGGGGACCGTGGAATGGCATTTGCCCAAAGTAATGTTGGCCAATGTAGCAGATACCCTAACGGGCCCTAAGTGGTGAGTGGAAGACGCAGTCTGGATTGAGGGTTACAAAACATTTCATAAGTATCGTTAATGTGAGCAGAATGTTTTTTAGCTCCGTCTCCAATAGCCCCTTGTTCAGCCTGGACTTTTTCCTGAATGAAGCGTTTGATATCTCTCCCTGCCCCCACCCTATCTTTAATATGCTATGGAAGTCAGATTTGTTGGCTGCAGACTGTTTGACAAAAATGACAGTAAACGTTTGGCTCTTTATTACCATGTAACACAAAGAAGTAGGGACCAGTATTCCCATTCTATTAACACGCCCAGACTTAAAGAATAAAGCAACTTACAGAAAGTAACACAGCTAGTGAGGTGACAGAGCCACAATGTAAAAACCTCTTACTCTATTGTAGCCTACCTCCCTGCTAAGGGGGCTGGTTAATAAATGCACTATGGATTACCTCATTCGTTCAAGGCCTTCGGGAAGCAGGCTTGTTTCCTGTGGCCAAGAGAAATGCAGTAAGTGATCCAAGGATGGTGTCATAGGACAGTTTTTTTGAACCCTAAGTATCAAATTATTCAACAGTATTTATCCCAAGTGCTATCCTAGGATCAGTGGACACAGAAGTCAACAGCCCTGTCATCTCACGGAGTTCACATAAGGGGGGAGACAACACTCAAACACATAAGTATGTCAAGTAGTAGTAAGTGCTATGAAGAAAACTAAAGCAAGGTGATAATGGAGGAAATAAAATGGAATAAGCACTGCTTATAGAACCACCTAAAATAGAAGCAGAGCCACTGAAGAAGCAGGGCCTATGCACACCTTGTGCCTCAGTTCTCAGAGCTACTATAAAGTTGCTAAACTTGCTAAACTCAGTTCAAGGCTGACTCATAAACATCTTAGAACAACTGCTCCTTCATTTGCATATTGGGACTTACCAATCCCTAGCCAGCAATCTTTTATTTGCATGAAAGAATTGTACTGTGTGGTTTTTGCCTTTATAAACCCTGCCTTTCTTTGTTTTCTCAGGAAGCAGTTTGAGTAGTTAAGTGAATCTGCATCTATGGGAGTGGAAGTTCAGTCCTTTTGCTCAAATAAATAAATACCTTTTGTGCTTATTATAGCCTGGGCCTCTTTGGTTAACGAAGGGCCAGAGTGCTTGTTCCTACAGCCCAGCTTTCCTCTACAGCTGCCATCTATAGTCCTCAAGTTCCCAAACCAGGAATCACATGTTTCTCAACTTTAGAGACATAATAACATATTATTTGCTATGTTTCTCCAACAAGTTTCAAAAAACAACCCTTTTGGGCGTTTGGGGAATATGAAAACAAGGCACAAGAGAGTGACTGAAAATGAGAAATGATGAAGCAAAAAGATTTGCCCATAGCCCTGGCCAGTTTGCTCATTTGGTTAGAGTGTCATCCTGTTCACCAAAAGGTTTCAGGGTTCAATTCCCAGTCAGGGTACATACCTAGGTTGCAGGTTCAATCCCCCATGAGGGTGAGCACAGGAAGCAACTAATCAATGTTTCTCTCTCCCTTTCTCTCTCTTTAAAATCAATAAACATATCCTCAGGTGAGAAATTTTTTTTAATTTTTAAAAAAGGATTTGGCCCTGGCTGGTGTGGCTCAGGAGACTGAGTGCCAGCCTGTGTGAACCCAATGGTCGCCAGTTCAATTCCAGGTCAGGGCACATGCCTTGGTTGCAGGTCAGATCCCCGGTGGGGGATGCATGGGAGGCAAGCACACATTGATGTTTTCTCCCTGTCTTTCTACTTCTGTTCCTTCTCTCTAAAAACAAATAAATCTTTTTTAAAAAAGGATTTGCCCATAGTCATTTTATTGACAGTTTTTATTGTTACAAAGGAAGTCCATGCATACATGGGGACATAGCATCACTGTATCCCCAGATCTCAGGGAGCAGTGACTGTTTGATGGGTCTTCGGGGGAATAAGAAAAGGGAGAAATCCAATAAAGAGAAAGACCAACTTAAGAGAGACAAAAGAGTGCCTATGAAATGCCTCATCTTTCTGGAACTACAGTAGAGGGGCTAAATAAAATCATTTCACCTTTTTAGGGATCATAAGTTCTCTGGGAACAAAGAAAGGTGGGAAGAGCCAATTCTTCAGAGAATTACTGGGTCACAGAATACATGAGTAAAATTAGAGAGCCACAGAATGAGAAAACAGTTGTGTTTAGGTTTTGGCAGGTGGACAGGGTGGTAATAATATCACAGGATTGCCATTAATTGAATCACACCTACTACGTGCCAGAAACCATGCTAGGGTCTTTATGGAATGATTCCTAATCATTGCAGCAACCCTGGAAGGTAAGCATTATTGTTCCAGTGTAGCAGAGGAGGACAGTGAAGCTACAGGTTAAGTAACTTGCCCTGGTTAAGCAGCCAACAAGTAGCAGGGTCAGAAGAGGGACCCAAGCCTACAAGGCTCTGGAGTCAGGCTGTTTCCTACATTCCTACTTCTCCATTCTACAAATTTCACAGAGGGGATGGGTGAGGCTGACTTGGGAGTTTACAAGGTCCCAGTGAAGGTTAAAGAACAATAAGGGTACAGGAACAAGTATAAAGGACACATGGACAAAAACTAGGGTGGGATGGAAATGGGAGGGAGGTGGGGAGGGTTGGGGGGGTGGGCTGGAATGGGAGTAAAAGACAGAAAACTGTACTTGAACAACAATTAAAATAAAATGGAAAAAAAACAATGAGATTCAGGTCTGAGCAGGACACCTATATTTCACAGAGTTATTGGGTCCTGCCTCCTAGAATTTCTAGGAAATGGAGAGTAGGATTAGGGTGGAAGGTGATTCTGATTTGGGGATTTCTTTGAGGGAGGGAACCAGCAGGAAAGACAGGCCCCAGGATTTGTCTTAGGCAGCAATCCTGTAGTTGGAGTGGACCTGGGGCCTGACATCGAAGACCATGCCAAGAAGCTGGGCCAGGACACGTTCACGGTTTTTCTGCTGGGAGCTCTGCATGACCTGCACCTGGCGCCTTGTAGCCTGCTCCACTTCGGCGGACAGGTTCCCCTGGGATCCCATGGCCTGGGAGGTGGGGAGTAGAAGAAAGGAAAGAAGAAACAGAAAGGAAGGTCCAGGCGTGTGGAAGGAAAGATCCTGGAGCAAGGCCAGGAAGAAAGGCCCTCTCCAAAGACCACATCCCATGGAAATACCCAGAGACCAAAGAAAGCAACACAATCCCCCTTCCTCCAAGACCTGACATGTAACTTCTACCTAAAACAGACTGTACAATCCCCACCTTACCACCCATGACCACTAAAATCTGCCCTCAACCCCAAATATCACCATACTCCACACAGACTGGCAATTCCCCCACACGCTGTACAAGTTCTTCAAACGCCCAGATTCTGTTACATAAACAAAGCTTGACCAATGCCATGGTCCCCACCAGGATCCCCTTCTGTCCTTTACCACCTTATTTTCTTGTAGAATCACCCTGTACACATCCCACCAACTTACAACCCGGGATGCCTTCCCAACTCTCCTCAGACTCACCGCCTGCTGCTTGCTCTGGAATTCCTGCTCTCGCTCTCGTCGGTATTGTTCCACTTCCATCTGTGCCTCCTCCTTTGCCTGCTTCAGACGCCTGGCCTTTCCTGGAAGCAAAAGAAAAGACAGGATCAGGATGAGCCTTACACAAAAAGTGACAGTAGGGGGTCAGTCCTTTTCAGGAAGTTATTCTGTCTTCTCTCAGCCAACCAGCTGCTAGATTCTAACAGTCACCCATTTCTTCCCTCCTAATCAATCACCCCAGCCCCCAGCTCTCTGACCCCCCCCCGCCCCTCCCATCAGGCTTGGGTTTTTCTAAGGACTCAAATGCTTGCTGTCAACTATCCCCAAATTTCTTTCCAGATTCTTAGGGGAGGAAGAAGACTCACTCTTTCTGGCGTCTGCCACCTTCTCAGCCGCTCGTTTCTCTGCTTGCAGGAGTTGCTGGATACCCTGGGATTGGCTGGCCATTTCTGTGGTTATGGCAGATTCTGTTCAGGATGCTACCAAGGTACCAAATGGCTCCCACCCCACCCTCCACCGCCTACTTCTCCTCTTCCAGCTCGTTGCTGCAGTCCTCCACTACCCCTGGGTCTTAGTGCTCCCCTTTTCCCTCAGCATCCTGCATCGGCAGTCTCCCCCAAACTGATCTCCCAATGGTGGCAGGTCTTCCTCTCCCACCTCACTCTGGCAGTATCCAGAAGGAACGCTTGGGGGCAGCAGAGACCAGACCCAAAGCTGCCCATTAACTTCACGGCAAGCGCAAAGCTCTCCCAGTCGGGAGATCTAGGAATGGAGGCAGGGGCGGAGAGAAGGCAAAAGAGAAGAGTTTAGATGAGGGTGAGAAGGTAAGGAAGTCACCATGCGTGGAGCACTGGAAAAAGAGTATGCTGAACTTCTCTGAGTTCTTTTTTTTTTTTATTTTAAGCTCTGAGTTCTTTCAACGTTTTTTCTCCTCTTTTTTGTCTCCCTCCGGTTTCTATCTCTTCTCCTACGTCTTTCCCAAGTCCAAATTTCTGCATCCATCCCACTTGCCTTATCCTACATTGTTGTTTTTCCATGCCTGTGTTTTGCCCTTTTTTGATCTGTCCCTATTCTTGGCCTTACTGTGTGTTGTTTTTGTTGTTGTTTTTCATTTTCACTGTGATTTTTTAAAAGATTTTAACTTATTTATTTTTAGAGAGAGGGGAAGGGAGAGAAACATCAATGTGGTTGTTTCTCCTGTGTCCCCTGCTGGGAACCTGGCCCGCAACCCGGGCATGTGCCCTTCACTGGGAATCGAATCAGCCACCTCAATCCACTGAGCCACACCAGCTGGGGTTCACTGTAATTTTTTATTCAGTCCTTATTTCCCTGTTTTCTCTCTCTTTTCTCATCTTTTCGTCTTCCACTGCACCACTCCTCTCTCCTCCCAGTTTGGGAGAAGCAGGGATAAACCTCCAAAACGACCTCTTTATCCTTGCTCTCGCCTCTCTGCTCCTTTTTCTCGTCTATCCTCCAGTCTCCTGGTTTCAGGAGGACCTTTTATCTTAACCCTAGTTTCCCTCCGGAGGTCCGACAGCAGAAACACACTTCCCAGCCCCCACCACTGCCCCTCCTTGGGAATAACAACATCCGGTAACGTGCCTTAAGTCATTTCCGCCCTTTACTTGCGCCTACCCGCTGCACTTCTGCGAGTCTACAGTGTCTGCATCTTCCCAGCAGGCAGCCTCCCAGCGTTTCAAGCGTACGCCTCTGACCTCCTGCTATGGGAGTACTTAGGCGGGCGGGGGGAGGTCTGATGAGTAACCCCGACCCCCAGGGTCCCACAGGGAGAAGCCTCTACATCCGTCAGCTGGGTACATTATATTCAGTTTCTAGCTCCTTATTTGAAATTACAACTTTGTAACTCAAGTATCTGTTGATCAAAACTTCCCTCATCAGTCTCAATTTGACTTTTTCAATGAGCTGCAAAGTAATAATTTGTCCTCAATTTTACATAAAAAAATTAAATCTTTAACCCCAGCCCCCCTTAAAATTTTTCAAACTTATCACTTTGTAAGGGATGTGTGTTAGAACAGTCGTCATCTCTTGCTGAAGCTGTAAAAACCAGGTACTGAAGGGAGGGACGGAGGGAAAGGCAGAGGGAGAGGGGACAGGCCGCCAAGGCTGCGATCCCACGATGCCTTTTGCTTTCTCAGCCCAAGAGTTCCATGGCCTCCGCTTCCTGCCGCCAGCGCTCTGCGTCGCTTTGGTCGGTACTTGCCTACAGGTCGGCTAGTCTCGGCCGAGGCCCCCCTCCAGCGACACCCAGGCCTTGATGTAGATGCCAGGCCCCACCTGCAGCGGGCCTGTGCTCGCCATGACATCCCTGCTCTCTGCCTGTTTCTTGGGCTCCGGACTGACCCCGCCCACCAGGACCGCCACTGGAACTAGGAGCTGCAGGCTGCTGCCCGCCAGGGCCCTGATGGTGAGTCCACCTATGGGGAACAAGGTCCTGAGCAACTGACCGGGTCTGAGATGAAGGCCAGCAGTTGAAAAACAAGCTAGTTATTTGGTCGTGGGACTTAGAGAGGTAACTGACTGAGTTGGCACGTGGCTGTCACCTGTGCCATTACAATACTGAGCTACCTTTGTTTGAAGAGCCCATCATTCCTCAAACAGCAACTGGTCTTCAAATTTCACATCTTTCTAAATTAGTAGCCACTTTGTCTTTTGAGGGGTTTGCGGATAGCACAAAAAGTAGCATAGAGGGTAGGCTCTGGAGTTAGATTGCCTGGATTCAAATCCCAGCTCCATACAAACTTTGCTGAGGCTTAGTTTGCCATGTGCAAAATTAAATAATAACAACTCTTGCTATGTGGCCAGCACTTCTCATAAAGGAACTCTTTTAATCAAAGTAACATGTTTAATCCTCACAATAATCCTGCAAAGTAATAAGTACTAATATTTCCCACATTAGGATACAACACAGAGAAGTTAAGTAATTTGCTACAGTGGTAAAGCAGGGATTGTAACTCAGGTAGACCAGCAAGAGTATGATACTGTGTGATACATTACAGAATCATACTGTGGTAGTGCCTGTGTTCATAGACCCCTGCTGGGGTGAGTGTTTTGAGAACCAACTGAAACAGTACACGAGATAAGCACTCAGTTGACACTGGCCATATTGTTCCTATTGTTGTCACCACATCCATACTCCCTTACCCACAGTGCTGCAACTCACACACACTCTGAGAAACAAACACTTTTTATCAGTCTGCCACCAAATGAGTTTGGTGGCAAAACCTAACCTGAGCTAATGATTTGTTTTTATTGTACTGATGTCAGTATCCAGACCTTTTGCTGCATACATCCATGTGTTTGGTTCCTGGTGCCGCCCAGGACCTTCTGGGCTACTTGATACACAGTATGTGAACTTTCAGATCAGCTCTATTGAATCCCAAAACATGGAGACCTGAAAAACCTTTGACACTGCAGTTTCCTGTGGGGACCTGTTGATCCCGTACTGGCAGTGGAGGCAACTCTGTAGAGGTACAACCCTCCTTAGGAAAAGGAAAGGTGAAACCCTCATTTCCCATCTGGGGATTTTCCTTCCAGAGTAAGAGCATTTGAGGAGAACCTCTAGGTTAGGATGAACAACCTTCACTTAATTTGATTGCCACTATTACCATCTCCCAGCTTCCCAAGTACAGGAACCCACTCCCACTCCCCAGTATCTGCCTCATAGTAAAAAGGAAAAGATTCCCCTTTAATTCCCCTTAATATAAGTGAGATAGGCTGGCACACTGCGATTTTCTTAACTTAAAGAGAGGAAGTTTATAAAGTGCAGCAATCTAGCCGAACTGGCATTGTAGGTAGTAAGAACCGAGCACCCCGAGGCAGGCCAGAGACCTCATCCAAGTCGCAGGCCAGCCACTGCAGGCTGTGTGACTGGGACAGGCAACTCACCCTCTGAGAGCCTGACTTGCCTCTAAAACACAGGCTGTGTGAATAAGAGAGGCAAGAACCTGGTGCAGTTTGGCACTAACTAGATGACAGGTAGTGTTCTTTTTATTCTGATATTATTCAATTAAGGCTATTTGAATAATAAAAATCTCCCTCAATGTATGGTAAGTGCTTCCTTCATTGTATTGAATTCTCAGAAGCCTACAAGATTAATAATATCTCGCATGCTGTCCAGCCTCTTAGGCCTTACTTTCTTCTAGTCCCTGCCAGCCCTGCCACCAGGGGGCCTTCTAACTCCTAAATAGAAAGGTCCATCTTATTCAGTTGCCACCTGCTTTAGAAACCACTGTGCCTTTAAACACATTTTTTTTTAACTGTTGAAATGATCTAGGATCCCCTGAGGAGACAGCATGCCGCTCAGCTCCTATGTTAGGCCTGAGGGATTTGCCCGTTATTGCTGGGTTGGCTGTGCTGAGTTGTCATACCAGGGAGATGCTGGTGATTGACCCCTACCTTTGGGCTTTTGGTAACTTCTCTTTGGACCCATCACCTCAGAGGGAAGCTGTCTCAGTTGTCAGAGACCCCTTTATAAACACATCTTTGACAATTACTATTCTCTACATACAAAAAGAATTAGCAAACACTGAAAAACAGGATCATTTTCTCACAATCTTTACAAAAAGGATAAAATCCAATGCCAACCTGACATATAGATATATAGATGCAGGTTTTTTTAATGCGACATTCACTGCACCTCTGCTGTGTTGGCGGCACAGTAGCTGACATACACCATCCATTACTCACTTGGATCCTCACTGCAGAAGTAGGCTGCGGCCCTCTTTTACAGGTGGCTGAGCCATCTAGTCTGTGTTCCATTTGCCTTTCCAACCTTACCTCCCATGGCACACCCTCAAACCCACAGCTCCAGCTACGTGGGTCTGTGTTCAGTGACCCCCCCCAACCCAGCATATTTTTCACAGGGCTGTCTCTCTTGCCTGTTGCCTTCCTATCCACCTGATTTCCACTTTGCTATTTTACCTTCCCAGCCCAACATAAGCCACACCTCCTCCTGGAAGCCCTCTCTGACCTTCCTGCCCAGTTACCTTTTCTTCCTCTGCACCTGCCTCAGTCAGTTGTCCTCAATATAAGCCTCTGATATTGGTGGGGTTTTTTGAGTGACTTGTACCAGTTAGTGTGGACTTTGCTTTAAGGTGGAAAGCATCTTATTATGGGAAGGGGAAGAGCAGCCTTTCATCACTAAGACAAAAAGTCCATATATACTCCAGAAAGTGTTTTTCATATTTATTTTTCCCAATATAAAAGTACATTGGAAAAAGTTGATCTCTACTGCTAAATTGATGATAAAGTTGGCATTTCAAGTTACTGGAGGGAGGTGAAAAAATGGAGTTCTTCCTCATACCTACCTTAAAAGTAAATTACAGCAGATTAAACATCTAAATATCACAGGAAGGGTACATACCAAATTCATGGAAGCAGTTCCGCTGGGGGCAATAAAACTTAGAAGGCAGCATCAAAGAAAACTTTAGCTTACCTATGATGGCTTTACTTCTTTAAAATGAAATGATGTTGCCCTGGCTGGTGTGGCTCAGTGGCTTGAATGCTGGCCTGTGAATCAAAAGGTCTCCAGTTGGATTCCCAGTCAGAGTACATGCCTAGGTTGCAGGCCGGGTCCCCAGAAGGGAGTGTGCAAGAGGCAACTGGTCGATGTATCTCTCGCACATCGATGTTTCTCTCCCTGTCTTTCTCTCTCCCTTCCCTCTCTCTAAAAATAAATAAACTTTTTAAATAAAATAAAGTGGTGTTACAAAAATGACAATATGTTAACATACCCTGTGATAGGAATATGGATACTTATTGTACTATACTTCGTACTTTTTTAATTTTTTAAATTCCGCCCCCCCCCAAAAGTAAATATGGTAGGAAAAACACACAGGAATATCTTTATAATCTTGGAGTGGAGAAAACCTTCCTAAGAATGAAATAAAGTCAAAAGCTATTGCTACAGATTTAACTACATTAAATTTTTAAATTTTATTTTTATTCATTGATTTCAGGGAAAGAGGAAGGAAAGAGAGAGAAACATCAATTTGATGTTCCACTTATTTATACATACATTGGCTGATTCTTTAATGTGCCCTCACTGGAGATCGAACCCACAACCTTGGCATATTGTACATAAAATTTTTTTTAATGGAGAAAATATTTACAATGTCTATAACAGACATACAGGGTTGATATCTAAAGTAAATGTGAACAAGTCATTCACAAAAGAAACACAAAAAGCATATGAAAAAGAAAATTTCATAATTAGAATCATTTTTTAATTTGTCAGATGGGCAAAATTGAAAGGTTGATAAGATTCAGTTTGGTAAAGGACGATGCAGGCGCTCATTTTCTTGGTAAGGGTGTACGTTGGCACAAACTTGAGGGCAGTTTGGCAAACTCGCGCATGTTCTTTACTCAGAAATTCCACTTCTGAGAATTCACCCCGCAGAAATACCGTAAGGAGTCTGCAGAGACATGTGTATGAGGCTGAACAGTTTTGGAAACAAGTCTATAAATTGGTGGTAGGAGACATTTGTTTCATGATCAGTGGAACCCTACAGAGTCATAAAAAAGAATGAGATCAATTATGTTTACTCTTGTGGAAAAATATAAGGTGTTAAGTGAAAAAAGCAAGTTGCCAAATAATACATATAGTGTGGTCACAGGTCTCTGAAAAAAAAAACTGTGATGTGTATGCATTTATATACACCAAGACAAGATTGGAAGGGACCACAGCATACTCTTAAGAGTGAATAAATTTATTCTTTATTCTTTAAAAATTTAAAAAACAAAAACAAAAAACGGCACCCTGACTTGTTGGGTGGAGCATCATCCTGTAAACCATAAGGTCAAGGGTTTGATTCCCAGTCGGGGCACACACCTAAGTTGTAGGTTCGGGCCCCAATCAGAGTGTGCACAAGAGGCAACCAGTCGATGTTTCTCTCCCTTTCTGTCTCCCTACCATTCCCTCTCTCTAAAAATAAAAAATAAAGAAGTATGTCCTTGAGTGAGGATGAAATAATAATAATAACTAAATGAGAGGAATTTTTTACATTAGTTATGTCCCTTTTACATTAAAATATCAGTAAATAAGATGGGGGAAGCCACCCATGGTCCTGCCACCCAGAGACTGGAATTTGCACATGTCCAATCTGTGTTCTTGAATCACAGCATTTGGTTTCTTTTGCACACAGTTGTAATCAGACCCCATGTACAGTTTTGTAGCCAGCTTATTTCCACACAGAGACATCATTTTTAGTGCCTATGTAATATCCCATATCGTATTTTACTTATGTTTTTTAGTTGGAAGCCTTAAAACCTATGAACTTAAAAAACATCTGTGCAAGACTGAGCATGCACCCACTCTCATACCTGCCATGAACCGTGGGAGGGAGTAAGCAGCTGAAAGACAGGACTACTTACTTGTTGGATGGGACAAGTTGGGAGGGCTTGTGACAGGTCATATCAGTACTAAACAGAAGTGCCCCTCATCCTGATGTGGTTTGGGTACATGGCACTCAAGTATGCCAGGAGATGGGCAGTGGCCAGCCAAGACTGGGTGCATTCTGTCTTCCTACCTTCCTGGCAGTAACAAAACAGCCCTTCTCCTGTCCCATCCTTTTCCTAGATAGCTAGTACTTCCTAGTACCACAAAAGATTTAAGGACCTCCAGCCCTGGGGCGAATAAGTAGGTCTACAGGAAGAGAGGGTGCCTCACTCACCTTCCTCTGTCCCAAGAGTGGAAGAGGTGCTTGGTGGCCTTGGCAGGTGGGCCTGGCCAGGAATAAGATGCCCGGGTTGGCAGTGAACAGCACAGCCCTGAGCCGGCCTGCCCTGGAGCAGATGCAGTGAGGTCAGGGCACAGGAAGGGGGAGCTCAGCAATGGCAGTCTCTCTTTTGTGTTCCCCAGCCTCTTGTCAGACAGCCCCTGGCAGGGACCCTCTGTCTCAGTCCCTTCCCTCCTGCCCCACAACCCGCCCTTTGGCCAGCAGTCATTTGGACAGAGCTTGCTCTGCTGCTAGGAACTTTTCTGTGGCTCACACTCATTGCTGATCTGGGCCCTCTACCTCCCCACTCTCCTCAGCACAGCCTGCGAAAGGCTGGCTGAGAGAAACTCCCCTAAAAACATTCATTTTATGCAGTTATTGAAAAGTGGTATAAAAAGATACTTTTCTATATCTGTATATTTATAATGGTATAGAATGGAATGTTCAGATATTTTACCATCTGGATTATAATGTGGGATGACAAATGCAATAAGAGGTAGAGAGTGACTGTATTTTCCAAGCCAAAAACAGAGTACATGGAGGTTTTTGACATTGCCCTGGGTGGCTGCAGGCAGGCCGGAAAATGTCATTTGACACAGTAGAACCCCCCAGGAAACTAAAATAGTTTGTGGGGACACAGGTCAGAATATGTTAAACTACCACACTTATTATGCATGTGGCAAACTGTCAGTAAATAATTGGTCTAGTCCAGAAGGGCGTGAGTGACTGGCAGGATCCAGATGGTGCCCTGCCAAGGAGGGAGGCCCCAGCTAACTCCTCTCACTGCTCTGCCACCAAGAGCCTGCATGACTTCTTCCAGCCACTGCCAAGTCACAGTCCATCTGCCATGGGAATAAAGAGTAAGGATGGAGAGACCCCTGGGCAACTCCTGGGCTGGACCTCGCCCTGGGATGCTGCTGAAGAGGAAGAAGAAGACAAGGCATCCAGGGAGCACATTGAAGGCAGAAGCCGCATGGAGAGCTCGAGGATGAGTGGAACGGCAGGAGGTCTTTGGACCACTTGAAGGTGAGGAACCCTTTCCCAGCCACAGCTGCCTTTCCCCGCAGTCTGCTTTACCTATACGCCCTCCCTCTGGCCCACCCTGCTTCTCTTTCCCCATAACCTTCTCACAGATTCTTCCTAACCACTCCCATTCCACCTTCCCAAACACAGGACACTTCCCAAGAGGCCCAGGAACCTGAGCCCTTCCCAGCCTGGACAGATCACCTGGCCTGGGAAAATGCCCAGAAGTGCCAGCAGCAGCTGCAGCAGCAGGAGGCAGAGAGCTTGCAGACCCCCACAGGCTGAGGGCTCCAGTCTCAGCTGGTGGCAACAGGAGAAGGAGCAGTGGCTCTTCCGAGAGTGAGCTGGAGCCGAGGAGGAGGAGCTGTGTGAGAGGCAAGCCAGGAGCCAGGCCATCACCGCAGGCTCTCAGGGGCCTGGGGCCCAGGGCCCAACACCCCGCAGAGCAGGGAGGGGCAGCCTCTGGCACTTAGATCAAGTGCCCAGGCCCCACCCTGGGGGAGGAGACGCAGAGGCCATGGCTGCAGTCCTGGTGGCCAGGGCCCGCCCCCCCCCCCCCCTTGGAGGAGCAGGTGGCTCCTGAGGGTCCAGTGCATTCGCTGGCACCCTGACCACTTCCTACAGTGATTATGGAGCCAGATTGAGACCTGGGAGCTAGGCCAGGTGATGGGAGCTGTGACAACCCTTTCCCAGGCCCTGAATCATTCAGAGGCCCTTAAATGACCTCAGGAAAACGGAGAAACTGCAAGGAACGCAGCCTTGGGGCAGGATGGCAGGAAGGGCACAGTCAGAGACAGGAATGATGAGGGCCAGGCAGATGCTGCACAGCAGAGGACACATGGGGTGGGAGTGGAACTGGTAATGAGTGGGGGTGGGGAGGACAGGCCACCACCGCTGCTCCTTGACTCTTTCATTTCCTAATAAGACCTGGTTCGCATCTCACTCCTGGTGTCTCCTCTGCCTTTTTTCCATTGCTGTGGTTTTCATCACCCATGACATCTCCTTTCCCGCCCCGCCAGCCAAAACCCACAGCTCCCACACACCTGTGACATGCATGCACGCACTAACACGTGCCCTCAGCTGGCGACAAGAAACCCCCTGCTTGCCCACCCATTAGGTTGGTCCTAAGAAGGCCCAGTTTGCCCTCCTGCGTGACTCCACTCCCTATGCTGGTCTCCCCTCTGCAGTCAGCCCCTGGAGAAATAGATGTGAAGAGAGGCCAAAAAAAAAAAGGAACAAACCCAGTTTCCCTCCCCTCCCCAGCCAGAACCACATCCTCCTCCCCACTAACACCCCTCCCCCAGCATAGACAGGGCTTTCCCTTTGCTGAGTCACTGAATGGTCCAAGTTGGGGGCAGCCAGAGCTGGGGGACATAAGGAGGTTGTAGGAGGTCAGAGGATAGAAGCAGGATGGATGGAGGAAGAGCTCTGTGTGTGGGAGTGGAATTTCAGTTGCTAAAATTAGAAGCAGGGGAAGCAGGCGGAAAGAGCCAAATTATGTAACCTGGGTTGTCTGCTCTTGGGCAACATGGAATCCAACCCGAGGCCATCTCTCCCCTTCAGTTCACTCCTCTCTCTCCTCCAGACCCTGAGGAAAGAGTGAAGTAAGATGGACTCACTATAGTCAAGTTGTTAAAAACTAACATCAGGTAGGTTGAGGCCTGAGGAAATGATTCTCTTCTCATTTTAACTAGCCTTGGAACTAAAATTTCTTAATTTTCCAGTCCTGCCTCAATGCCTGGGCACACATCTGACCTCCAGGTAACCCCCTGATTACCCCTGAAGGACTCAGGTATACATTCACCTGGCATCCACCATCCGGACCACCTGTCATCTGACAGATAACTTTCCTGGACCAATCCTAGAATGCAGGACTGACAGTTCTCAAGGATTACACTTTTTACTATAAGAACTCTTAATTTTTCTTCCTTCTTCAGAAATATTTGTGGGTTTCTGCCTAGTTATATTTCCAGTTTGCAAACTCTTTAATAAATCTTTATCATTTATTTCTAGCCAAAGCCTTCAAACACTTTTTTTTTGGGGGGGGGGGGTTGACAGCCTCAGTTCTTAACTCCCTCCATCCAGCTTCTGCCCCCATCCCAAATTTGAGGTTTATCTCTGGGCAGGCAGGCATGGCCTTCCAGATAAACCTCTCCTCTTCCTGAGGCTGAGGAAAAGGTCCTGTGGGATAGAAGGAGGAGGTCTAGAACTCCCACAGAGGACTGGGGGCGCCACCCCTCCCGCTGTTCATACTCAGTTCTCACTCCTGCTCCCTGGACTGGGTGGGATAGGAAGTTGTGGACGGCACCAAACCCACTGCCGCCCCCAAGGACCAGCGGCAAACTTGGTGAAGAGAAAGGGCAGGACTGAGGGTACGGGCATGAGCAGGCGTGTACAGTCTGCACTCGTCCACATCAGAGAAGCTTATGAATCAGGAACTTATTTTTCAGGTTAGGGCCCCAGCCTGCACAGGAGAAGCCCAAGGGTAGAGGGCTCTGGAGGATGCGGAGTGGCAGCCTCAGGAACGTGGGGTGAGCATGAAACCGTTGGAGAAGACCCATCCGAGAGGCCCAAGGCCTCCGAGGGACCAGCCAGATGTTCCGGGAGCGGGAGGAGGAAGGGCTGGTGAGAAAGAGCCTGTGAGAGGAAGCTGCTGTGATTCAGAGAAGAGACTTTGAGCTGTGAGCAACCCAGGCGTCCGGTTCCTTTCACAGGCCGGAGATTTCGGAAGTGGCATGCAAAGAGCTCAGGTTTGGGTGGGGGGATCCAAAGCTGGAGGTTGACAGGTGAACAGCAGAAAACTTTGGTGTCCGACTTTGCTCCTGCATCCAGGTTTCTCTCTGGTTTTTCAGCACATCACCAACCATTTGCAAGAGTTATATAAAACCACAGCAAAATAAGCCCCGATACCTGGCCCCCCAGACCTCCCTGTTTTCAGTGTTTCTCCCTGATGTCTGGCCCCCAGCCCTGTTGGGGGTTCCCCTAAGATGAGGGCTGTTCACTTTCTCTGACCACACGGTTTCCGCTTCTGTGTCTATTTTTCCTAGGCTGATAAAAATACTGAGCCCTAGAGGCCCTGGCTTCCTCTGACCCCCTGGGGCCAGGCAGCAGGCATCCTGTCCACCACAGTGGGGGCAGGGAGGGGGCCCAGGGATCCCCAAGGGGTGACTCAGTGCCCACCATGAAACAAACACTAGGGAGGTGGAAGAGTGCATGTCCTCTAGAGTTGGAGCGAGGAATCAGTTCTCTGGAGGACGCCTTGGGTTTCAGTTAGAGAAACGGAATTGGGAATGAGACTGGTAAGACTGAAGAGGGACTGAGTGGGAATTGGGGTCCAGGCAGGTCTGGGTTAAGTCAGGAAAAGGACCCAGAGGGACTCTCTTCAGTACAGTTCAACCCAGCATCAAGTAGCCCAGAGATAAATTCAAGCTCGGCTTCAACTTTCCAGTCCCTTAGGGGAGGCATGGTGGGTACAGAAGAGGGGCCTGTGAGGCGGAGAGGGCATGAGAGCTTGCACTGACTAACGGGGAGAATTTCTGTGGGCAGAGGTAGAAGGGCTCTGTGGGTAAAGGAAATGGCTTGAGCAGAGGAGGAAGTCAGAAAAGCAGTATGTTGAGGAAAAGAGTGTCCTGAGGTGGACAAAGCACAGGTGTGAGTGAGCAGGTATCGGAGGGACAGGATTCAGGCTGTGTGATGTGCGATGGCGCTGTGACCACTGTGCTGGAGAGCGCTACAGGTGCAGGCTCCAAGGGAAGAAGACAGCAACGGTGTTTTGAACACCCACTATGTGTGACCATGGCAGGTCCTCCCTTTCTTAACACCAGTAATGCTGTCGACTACTGTCCAGAAGGGTCGGAGTGAGTCTCCATTGTACAGATGAGAAAACTGAGGCCATCCATGTCCTGTTACTTGCTTAGGGCCACACAGCTGAAGAGTAATGGAATCATTAAACTCATCTTATTCTAAGACTCCTGTGTACTTACTGCATAGGTCTCAATAACTCCAAATGGCATTAAAAGAGGAAACAGGCCCTGGCTGGTGTAGCTCAGTAGACTAAGCCCAGGCTGTGAACCAAAGGGTTGCTGATTCAATTCAAAGAGGACACAGATTTTATAAACTTCAAGAAGGTAAGTCAAGACATGGCAGCTGATTGGGGGTGAGAATGAGAGAAGAGTCAAATGACTCCGAGTTTTGAGCCAAGGGGATCGGAAAGGGCAAGTTGTCCTAAACCAAGGAGATGCATGTCCAAGGGGAAGTTGAGGAGTTAATTTCAGGTATTCGATCAGTAAATCTGTATTCAGCAGCAGACAGAAGCATGGTGCTCTGCTAGACAATGAACACAAGTGAAATAAAGTCACTGCCCTCAGCACGCGTGGTCTAACGAAACAAACACTACACAGGTATAAATGAGACAACTACACATAATAACGGGAGCTACATCTGCATAGAACAGTGATTTTCAGCCTCATCTCATGGCACCCAAACTTAACATTCTGCAGGACACAAAGATGCATATAATTTTGATTGATTCATGCTGGAGACTGTTGTGTTGCATGTTGTCATTTTTTTAATTTGACAATCTAAGGGAAAAGGTCAGTGTCCCTCACTAAATAATCAGGTATTGCACGTTTTAAGAATTCTTGCAGCACACCAGTTGAAAATCGCTGGCTTAGAATAATAAGGGCTCACAGAAGGCCCACGGAGCCGGAGGTGCTAGCATGCCACTCAGGTGGAGATCTCCAGCAAGCCAGTATGGAGCATGAGAAGGACATTTGGGCTGGAAGAATAGATTTGGGCATTACTCCTCCCCATGAAGGTTGAACCTCTGAGTTGATGGGATTTCCAGAAGAGAAGGTGACCAGATGAGTCCTGAGGGAGATCAAAGGAAGAAGAACCAGTGAAGGAGCGAGATCAGGGAGCAGTCAGTAAGTAGGGCAAGGAAGTGTGATGCTGTGCAGAGGCCGCATCTGATGCTTCAAAGGCGTCAGGTAGGTGAGGGTTGAAAAGATCCTTTGGGTTCAAGAACTAGATGATTACAAATTTCGAGAAAATAGTTTCCACTTATCAGAGGGGCAGAAATCACTTTACATAAGATGAGGAATGAGTGGGAGGTGAGGAAAGGGAGGTCGTGGGTACAAAGTCATAGAATGGTGAATACAGAAGAAACTAAGAATTGTCTCTGGTTCAACCCACGAATTTTACAGATGAGGAAAATTTTACTAGTTCCTAAAGTGGTTAAAGGGGTTAGTCTTAAGACAGCATGCAGAAAAGGAAGGTGAGAGATGGAGTGGACATTTGAGGGAGAAAGAGTAAGGATTTTTTATTCTCAAGGCAAAACTATCATCTGTAAAATGAAGGGAAGGAGCATGAAGAGAGCAAGATACTGAAAACATAAGAAAGAGAGAGAATGCAATAAAGACAGGGAATGGGATACAGAGTACACAGGAAAGAGCACTTCCCTGAGTTGAGAAGAAAGGAAAGATCAAACATAAAGGTAACAGAACTCAGGAACTGTACTTTGCGTGGCCTTGAGCTCAGTGAAATAGATGACAGCATCACCAACTGAGATGAAAGAGGTAGAATGGAGAGCATAAGAGGCACGGAGACTTAGACCGTCACCTGCACTGTGACGGATATAATCAATAAAGAAGAACTGAGAAACACGGGGCTCTCAGGTCAGACAGTCAGGATTAGCTGTAGGCCTCTTACAGTGTCATGACTCCTGCAATGCTTGGCAGCCTAGGAGAAATGCTCAAGGACAAGACCATTAAGTTTACCCAAATCAAGTGTTTCAGATCCTCTAGCTAGAACGTCAGGTAGGTAAGTGATTCCAAAGCTGAATGAATGAGAGGCCGGAGTATAAGTCTCATCTTTGTGGTTTCAAAGTCTCTAAAAATGGTGGTAGGGGATGAGATGGAGAATAACTGAGTTAGATATACAAGTTGTTAACAGCATGGTAGAGATGTTGGTGGAGAAGACTGCGTGCACACAGGAAGAGCATGGCAAATGCAGAAGGAATGGGCTTCAAGAGGAGGAGTTTCCAAAGGCGCAGGGGAGAAGGAAACTGGCTTCTCCTCTGCCACCTGTCCCTCGTGATGAGTGTGGAAGAAGGAGCAGGCAGGATTCACCAGAGAGAAGGAGCATCATTAGGAGAAATCCAGGTTTCCGAGTGCCAAAGGAAGATGCTTTCAAAAATAAAAGAGAGGATTTGAATATAAGAGAAGTTCCACAGGATGCTGTGAAACAGATCTGTAGACATGTCCTTGCAGAGTAGGAAATCTAATCCAGGGAGAAAATCCCACTGAGAGGTCAGAAGCAAACAAAATCTGGACAGTTCTGTCCCTAGGAGCAAGAGGTTGCTGCTTCTGGAATTTCAAAATGGAAGACATACAGCATTTATTAAGGCAAAATAAAAATAACCTCAAAGGTGTCCTATGGGAGTAGGCAAGGTAAGGCATCTCATCCAGCCCTGCAGCTTTAATAAACACCTGCTTTGCTGACAGTGCCTGTCCAGCTCTGGCCTGGCCTGTGAAATCTAGACTCAATCAACTGCTAAGTGACATCTCCACTTGGATCAATAGGTTTAGAGTTAACAAACCCAAAATTAAACTTTTGGTTCTCCCACCCCTTCGGAATCCTACATCTCTCCCAGTCTCCCCATGTTCACCCCCAGCATCCGTCCAATCTATCATCTAGTCCCGTCAATTCTACCCCTGAAATATATCCCAAATTTGTCTACTTTTGTCCAGGAGACACATTTTTCTTGGCTGCCACCATCTCTCTCCAGGATTATAGTAATTGCCCCTGAACTGGTGTCCCAGCTCTCAATGTTGCCTCCTACAATCCAGTCTAAACAGAGGAGCCACAGCAATCATTTAAAACATAAATCCAATCACCTCTGCCTCTCACCTCCCTCCCTCTCTCTCCCTCTCTCCCTCTCTCTCTCTCTCTCTCTCTCTCTCTCTCTCTCTCTCTCTCTCTCTCTCTCTCACACACACACACACACACACACACACACACACTGACATCCTTCAAAGCCTCTCAGAACAAAGAACAGTTTAACAAAACCCAGATGCTTTACCCCTCCTTGCCTAGCTTTCTGTGAGCTGGGCCCTGATCTCCCCTTCGACCTTATTTCCCAGCCCTCTCTCATGCCTCTCTCTGCTCCAGCCATACTGGCTCCTTTCTGTTCTTCAGCACTCCTAGCGGGTGCCCACCCTTTAGCCTCTGCAGAAGATATTCCCTTTGCCTGGAATGTTTTTCCTCCAAACCTCCACCCAATCACTCTTGTCATTTGGGTCCCACCTTAAATGCCACTTAGGACTTTTCTGACCACTGTGTCTAAAGTAGTTCCCCACCACTGTTATCACACCCCTGTCTTACTTCCTCACAGCACTTCTTGCTGATTCCTCTTCAGTGTATTTCTTTTCCGCCTTGCCTTACTGGGATATAAACTCCAAGAGCGACAGACCCCTGTCTGACTGGTTTGCCGCAGTACCCCTCCTGCCTAGAACAGTGCCCGGGATGCAGTAACCTCCCAATGAAGAGTTATTAAATGGAGAGATGGGTGAATAATGGGGCAAAGCAGGATAAAGCTCAACTTTAGGTCTGTGGCTCAGACTGGGCTTCATTTAGAGCCAGGGTTAACTATAGGGTTACACATGACGATCGGTTTGTTTGAAGATTAGCTCTAGAAACAGGGTTGTGTTAGATTAGAGAATAAACTTGTTTGGGGTTCGTTTATCGGGATGTACTTAGATTTGGCATTAGGGTTGAGTTTGGGTTGTGATTTGGGTTGAGGTTAAATTTGGGTTAAGGTCAAAGTTGGTATTAAATCCCAATTTTGATTTTTGAGGCTAAATTTAGGTTTCAGACTAATGTCATTTCAACCCCATGGGGAGCCTCAGAGATTTCATTGGTTTCTCCACAGAGACCACTGTAGAAACTGCATTTCCCTGAGTTTGGAGCACAAGACTCCAGTCATCACCACTCCCACTCAGGGAAAGCCCCAAACCAACTGCTGGCCACCCCAAGAAAGAAACCAAATTTCACATAACCTCTGAAACTGAGATTGAAACCAAGATTGGCCCATGTCAAGGAGCATCCTTCAGCTCAGCACAAACCCTGTGACAGCCAGCCCGGCCCAACTCTGCCTTTCCTTCCTCTCTGTCTCTCATGTCTCCCTACCACTCCTCACCTTCCCCTTTCTGTCCGTCGATGCATCAGCCTTTCTCTCTGACCTCAGTTTCCCCATTTCTATTTCTCACTGTTAATTGTAATGTCCTTTTAGATTTTTAGAGAGCTGAGGTCTCTGTTCATCAGCTCCTACCATTAGAGAGGGAGAAAAAAAAGGACCCCAGAGAAAGAGGGACACAGAGAAAAGGAAAGGGGCACAGACCAGGAGGGAAACCAACAGCAACACAACAGACAGTGAGGTTAAAAGAATAAGAAGCTGAGACGCAGACCAGGAAATTAAAAGAGGCATCTATGACTGCTCTCTCCTCCATCACATCTGCTCAGTCATCAAGACCTGTAGATTGTGCCTAGAAACTCTCTTCTCCTTTCCATTCTCCTTCTGTGGTCTCAATATAAATGCAGGCTCTTGTCACCTATTTGCTTGGTTATGCAAAACCCTCCTAACTGACCTGAACACTTCTGGTTTCCCCCCCAGCACCCTCAACTCCCTTACCTCAGTCCTCCTTTTGTGTAGCTGCCAGACTCATTTTTCTAATATATTAATCTGGTAGGTCCCTCTCTCACTCAAAATTTTTTTGTGGCTTCCATTATAATTAGAATGAAATGCAAACTTCTTTTTGTGGTTTCAAACCTTCAGGATGAGTTCTCAGCTTCCCTCCCAAGCCTGTGGCTTCCTCTTCTATCTGTACCCAATAGCATAACTCAGCACACTCCATACCATCTTTTAATAGGGTCTTTTTTAAAAAATTATTTAATTTTAGAGAGAGGGGAAGGAAGGGAGAGAGAGAGAGAAATATCACTTTGGTTGCCTCTTGCACATGCCCCAGCTAGGGACCAGGCCCACAACCCAGACATGTGCCCTGACTGGGAATTGAACCTGCTTGATTTAGTTCACAGGCCAACACTCAATCCACTGAGCCACACCAGCCAGGGCTCCATAACATCTTTTAATTCCAGTCTTTGCACATACTGTTCCCTCCATCTGGAATACTCCTCACCATCTTCTTTGCCTCTGTGCTTAATGCCTGAATCACCTCTCCCAAAGTCCGATGGCTTTTCTGTAGGCTGCCGTGAGCCCATTGTCACAGAACTTATCATACCTTATTGTAATTTTTTTATAACTTTCCTGTCTCCCACACTGGTCTTTGAGGTCCTGGAGAAAGACTATTCTCAAGGTCTTATACAAGGTCGATAAATGTTAGTAGAATAGAAAGACAGCTAAGGAGACGGAATGAGAATAAAAAGAAATAATAGATAAGACTAGTAAGGCATGAAAGGCAAAGTTGCAGGACTTCAGGTAGAGGGAAGAAGACAGGAAAATAGTTTGTACACATCCTGAACATTACTTATGAGCCACAGGACACCAGGACCCCTCAGAGACTTTGTGCCAGAGGAGCGTGGCAATCTGCCCAATGCCAGAGCAGGAAGGTTTCGGCCTCCATCACTACCACCCTCAGCACCAGCCCCTCCAAAACTCTCCAAATGAAAACATCACAACATTAGTAAGAGTGATTATTGTTTTCTCAATATCATGAAACATGAATAAAATCCTGTTTAGAGACCTGATTTTTTTTTAACCTGCAACTTATAAGCTAAGTGATAACTAGCTCATGTTCTCATCAATGGTTTTCATAATAGCCAAAACCTAGACACAAACCAAATGCCCCTCGGCAGGAGAATAGATAAATGAATTACAGCCTACTCACCAGACTCTAAATAGAAATTATTCCACAGTGAAAACCCACTACAATCTGCGCGACCATGATGATGGCACTCACGGACAGCGCTGCCTGGAAGGAGCGAAACTCCAGTGAGTGCATTCTGTGTGGTTTCATTTACCTCAAGTTCAGAAGCAGGAAGAACTAATCTACGGTAATGGAGGTCAGAAAGTGGTTGGTGATCTCTAGAGGATATTAACTGGGAGGGGGCTTGAGAGAAACTTCTGGGGACCCAGGAATATGTTGAACCGGGTGGTAGCTACATAGCTATGAACAGATGGAAAAGTCTGTCAGGCTATTCCCTTAGAAAACGAGCATCTCACCATATCTAAGTCACACATCAAAAAATAAAAACAGGGAAATCCTTAACAATTTTAAAACAATGTATTGGTTCTACAAATGCAGCTTCAAGGCCAATGGCTTAGCTGCCACACTCCTTGACCCTGGAATGTGTTTGTTTGCAGTTACTTAAGTCTGACCTGGGGGTGAGGTATAGGTCCTCATCATACATGGCTGTGTGGCATCGACTCTGGGAAGGGGGACATACATCTATCTCAGGACACTTTGGAATGTGCTCCATGAGTTGTTTCACTAGGACAGCAGGCACAAACCAGAATGTCCTAGGAAAGAGGTATGTCCCAGGTTTCTTGATATGAAACATGCCAGACAACCTAGAAAGTACTCACACTGGGACAAGTGTGACCTGGGCCATTTGGGACAAGGATAGGGGTAAAGAAGAGGAAATGGGCACAGAGAGAAGCCTGTAATCAGCCAAGGATGCCGAGGTGTTATACATAATCACTCTTCAGGGAAACAGGCCTCCAGCCCACACCCCAGCTGATACTCTTCTGGCTCCCCTGAATTTACTGTCTTTCTCTGGAACTCCTAAGCCTGACCCCACTCCCTGGCCCTGCCAGCCCACAATTCCCCTGACCCCACTCCCCTTCCCAGAACTCAGTTGTCTGAGCCCCCAGCTTGCGGTTCTCTCCTAGGCCTCAGCCTTTCCTGCCTTCGGCTGAAACAGCAGCATCTTCTAAGCCCTGGGGGCTTCCCCGGCCCCAGCCTTGGCCTAGAACCCGCCTGCCGCCTGCCTGCCACTGCCGCTTCCTCTATAAAGGGACCCAGGGGCCTCGCACAGCAGGTGAGACTCTCCCACCCCATCTCCTTGGGCTGCCCGGCGGTGGACTCTACCCGGCCCCTCCTGCACCTCCTGCCTGGGCCTGGGCCTTAGTGGGTTTGGTTTTGGTTTGTTTCCCTTCTCTGGCTCTCTATCTGTCAGTCTCTTTCTCTCTGTCTCTGTCTTTTCTGTTTCTGCCGCGATCTCTCTCTGTTTGTCTTTCTGTCTCCAACTGCTCACCTCGGGGTTTCCCTGACTGCATCTTGTCCCCTTCTCTGTCTATCACCCTATGTCTTGTGGTGGCTGTCTCCTCAGGAGCAGGCCAGTCTTGTGCAGCGCCCCACCCCAACCCAATCACTGTCTCTCTCCATGCAGGTTCTCCTCATGACACCATTTGGACATCTCTACCTCCTGAGGGTGCATGGTGCCCACCTCCTCCTCCTTCTCCTTCTGGGGCTACTGCTGGCTCTGCTGCCTGAGGCCCAGGTGAGGCAGCAGGAGAAGAAGGTTGCAGGGGTAGCCCAGCTGAACTTTGGGCCCTAGAGCCCAGCAAACTCTCTTCTCCCCCTAGGGGCTCCCTGATGTTGGCCTCTCAGCTGCACGGACTGCCCATTATCACTCCCAGAAGCACTTCGAACAAGGCACCCTCAAACCTGCCGCTCACCTTGTTGGTAAACATCCTCTTGCCCTCCCAGACATGTATCCCTCAGCCCCCTTCTAACCTCCTTCAGGGACCCAATCATCTATCTATCCCACCTTTTCCCAACTTTCCCCACCCCCCAAAACAGAGGCTCCTACTCCTACTGCAGGAACTCAGTCCAGCATCTGCTTCTTCAGGGATTAAGACCTCTGACCCCCAGGTCCTTGACCCACCCCCAAACACACGTACCTATGGCTCTTCCTAGGAGACCCAAGCACCCAGAACTCACTGCGCTGGAGAGCGAACACAGATCGTGCCTTCCTCCGCCATGGCTTCTCTTTGAGCAACAATTCACTCCTGGTCCCCACCAGTGGCCTCTACTTCGTCTATTCCCAGGTGGTCTTCTCTGGGGAAGGCTGCTTCCCCAAGGCCACCCCCACCCCTCTCTACCTGGCCCATGAAGTCCAGCTCTTCTCCTCCCAGTACCCCTTCCACGTATCTCTCCTCAGTGCTCAGAAGTCTGTGTGCCCAGGGCCACAGGGACCTTGGGTACGCTCAGTGTACCAGGGGGCAGTGTTCCTGCTTACCCAAGGAGACCAGCTCTCCACTCACACAGATGGCATTTCCCACCTACTCCTCAGTCCCAGCAGTGTCTTCTTTGGAGCCTTCGCTCTGTAGAAACATCCAGAAAGGAAAAATTGGTTTCAAGGCCTTCTCCCCATCTTGCCTCCATCCTGACTATTTCAAGGGTCACGACACCTCTCCTTTGACTATTCCAACAGTCTCAAGTCTTCCCTGCTCACATCACCTGGAGCTTCCAAAGAAGGAATCTCGGCACCCCAGGACTCCCTCCTCCTTGAATCACCCCAGTGCTCTGCTCAATGCTCGATGCTCGGCTGCGGACTTAAGCCTGCCTAGAGATCCCGGCTCCGGCTCCGAGCTCTGCTCTGCGCTGCCGGTGCAAGGGCTTAGCCCTGGGCGTGGAGGGAAGCAGACACATTGGGAGCTTGGGTGGACGTCTGGAGGCAGGGAGAGGGGATTATTTATGAAGAGAAAAATTAAATTATTTATTTATGGAGAATGCAGAGAAGGTAATAGTAGAGGGACATCAGAAGAGAAAGAGATAAATATGCCCCAGAGATGAAGCTGAGAGGCATTGCACAAGAAAGACCACACGAGAACTCGAGTGGAGTTGAGGGACCGAGGTGCTCTAGAAGAACATGACGGGTTCTGAAGGGCCAGCACTGCTTGACTAGACACCCCACGAGGCAATATCTGCAGCCTCGTTTAAGCCCAATAAATGTTTTTTTCTCTGAAATGCTGTCTGCCTGTGTCTGTCTGGGAAGGAATTTCTCAGGTCTCTCTTAAGGAGTGAAGAGAGGACAGAAGCCTCAGAGGGCGTAGGAGCTGGGGGCGTACAAAGAGATACAGGGGCTTAAGGAGCCCTGTGGCTGGTGCAGGGATGGGGAGTGGGGTGGTGCAAGGCAGCCAGGCCCTGCAGGGGAACCAAAGAATAAGCTGAAAAGACAAAAAAATGGGGTTCAGGGTCTGGAGGAGTGAAAGTCAGAGGATCCCTGGCAGATATGGCCACATAGCAAGGCTGTAAGGTGTAGGGGTTACAGGAAGCCTCCGGAGGGAAGTGACTTCACAAAAGGGTCTTCAGGACCACAGGGATGGAGCATGGGGGTCCCCGGGAAGACAGGGCCATGCAAGGGCCCTGAGGAGTTGGAAAGTCTCCAAGGCTAGGGGCTTGGGAAACACAGATGACATTTGAGGGGACGTGGTCACACACAGGGGGTCTGAGGTCTGGGGCTGTCTCCAGGGATCTGAAGAGAGCAGGAGTTCTTTGGGGATACATAGCTATATGTGGGGGTTCTGAGGGATGGAGCCTTCAGGCGAAAATCAGGGTCTCAGGTTCTTCTGGAAGCCAAGACTGAAACCAGCACTGTGAGTCCCTGATCAGAACGAAAGGAAAAGGCCTGCCCTGGTGGAGTTTGTGAATTCCCAGGGTTGCCTTCATTCCCTCTGGGGCTGTCCCAGGGCTGTCCCTGCTGTCCGCCCCCAAGCCCTTCCAGAGGCCCTGTCCATACCCCCACCTCCCTTCCCCCAGCTCTTTCTTACTCCAGGGACCCAAACTCATGTCTCAGGACCCAGCACAGCTTCTCTCCTTTTTCTCACCATCAAGGACTCAGCTTTCTAAAGCCCCTTCCATTTCTACTTCTGCTCCTATGTTAGTCCTCTCTGAAAATCAGAGGGGACTGGTCCCCAAAAGGAATGGAGTCAATGGGAGTTGGATCAGAGGGGAACAGGGTCCAGCCTTCAAGGTCCTACAGTCACAGCAGTAGCTGGCCCAGCAAGCCCCTCTCAGAATCCAAGTGGGGAGGGTGGTGAGTATCCCTGATGCCTGGGTGTCCCCAACTTTCCAAATCCCCGCCCCCGTGATGGAGAAGAAACCGAGACAGAAGGTGTAGGGCCCACTACCGCTTCCTCCAGATGAGCTCATGGGTTTCTCCACAAAGGAAGTTTTCCGCTGGTTGAATGAGAGCCTTTCCCCGCCCTCCTCTCCTCGGGGCGTATAAAGGCAGCTGTTTGCACAGCCTGCCAGCAGAAGCTCCCTCAGCGAGGACAACAGGGAACCGGCCAAGAGAGAGAGAAGCAACTCCAGACCCCCTGGAAGTAATCTCTCAGACGACACAGCTCCCAGAGAAGCAGCCAGGCGACTCTACTCTCTTCCTCTGATACCACTTCCCAGCTAGACGTGAGCCCCTCTGGAAAGGACACCATGAGCACTGAAAGCATGATCCGGGACGTGGAGCTGGCTGAGAAGGTGCTCCCCAAGAAGGCAGGGGGTCACCAGGGCTCCAGACGGTGCTTGTGCCTCAGCCTCTTCTCCTTCTTCCTCGTGGCAGGAGCCACTACACTCTTCTGTCTGTTGCACTTCGGTGTGATCGGCCCCCAGAGGGAAGAGGTGAGTGTCTTACCAGCCTGGGCTTCTTCTCCCAGCCAGAAAGAAATGGGGGAGAAGGAGGGTCAGAGATGGGGAGAGAACACTGGAGAAAGATGGGAAGGCAGAAAGAGAAATGGAGAGAGATCAGGGAAGAGAGAAGGATGGAGAGATAGAATATCTGTCACCTGGAAGGTGCTAACTAAACACTTGTTGAATGAATGAATGAACAAGAGATAAACATATATAAAGAGATATGTAGAAAGATATGGGGTGTGGGTAGAGAGATGGGAAGAAAACAAGTGATATGAATAAAGATGGTGAAATAAAGAGATAAGGGAGATGTGAAAGACTGGTGAGGGAAGGAGAGATAAGGAAAGATGAAGGCAGAATGTCTGGCTTGTGGAAGGCACTCAACAAAAGATTGTTGAATGAATGAATGGACAAATGAAGAGAGAAAACTAGACACATCAGACAGAGAACACCCACTAGACACGTAGCCAGCTGTTTCTATCTAGGGGTGACTTGCTCTGATTCTAATTCTCCTCCTTCTCCCCAGCAGTTCCTAATTGGCCCCTCACTGGCCCGGACCCTTGGTAAGTGTCTCCAAAGCCCCTCTCCTACTTCTGGGTTTGGGTAGAGTTGGGGTTAGTCCTGGGATGGTAGCAGCGGGGGAAATTTAGACTTGGGATTTGGGGGGATGAGGAATGGAGGTCAAAGAAGCAGGGTATTTTTTTTCCGGAAGCTTAAGGGTCTCATCTCTTTCTTTCTTCTTTCCTCCTCAGGATTATCTTCTCGAACCCCAAGTGACAAGCCTGTTGCCCATGTTGTAGGTAAGAGTTCTGAGGATATGTCTAGGGAATGAAGAAGCAGGTGGGCTGAGGAAGGATAGGATTTGGGGACTGAACCCAAGATGAAGGTAGACAGACCTTGGAGACAGTATGAGAAGAACTCACTGAATTCAAGGGAAGGGTGGAGAAACACCACAGGCCTTGCAAGGTATACTCAGAACCTCATGGCCCGATGGGATATGGGAAGACAGACAGAGGGGACAGGAACAGGATGTGGGGGGTGAGCAGAACTTGAGGGCCAGGATGTGGAGAGTGGAACTGACAGGTTCACCTCTCCCTCTCTCTCTCCCTCCCTCCAGCAAATCAGCAAACTGTGGGGCAGCTGCAGTGGAAGAATCAGGTTGCCAATGCTCTCCTGGCCAATGGTGTGCAACTGAAAAACAACCAGCTGGTTGTGCCGTTGGATGGGCTGTACCTCATCTACTCCCAGGTCCTCTTCAAGGGCCAAGGCTGCCCTCCCACCCACTTGCTCCTCACCCACACCATCAGCCGCTATTCCGCCTCCTACGCCCAAAAGGTCAACCTCCTCTCCGCCATCAAGAGCCCTTGCCAAAGGGAGACCCCAGAAGGGACTGACGCCAAGCCCTGGTATGAACCCATCTACCTGGGAGGGGTCTTCCAGCTGGAGAAAGATGATCAACTCAGCGCCGAGGTCAACCTGCCTGACTATCTCGATTTTGCCGAATTTGGGCAGGTCTACTTTGGGCTCATTGCCCTGTGAGGGAGCAGGATGTCCATCCCAGTCCACCTTAATCCCTTTATCAACCTCTCCTTCAGACCTCTTCATCCCTTCTGGTTTAAAAGGGGAATTAGCGGCTCAAGGCCGGGTCCTGAGCTTAGAACTTCAAACACTTAGAAACCTAGGATGCACGAATGCGCTGCCTGGACAGTGGGGCACTGGCCACCACCAAGCCCTCAAACTAGGGCTTCCAGAATGCACTGGGGGCCTCAGGTTTGGGTCTCTGAATGCAACCTAGGTCACCTGGAATGTGGAGGCCAGAACACTTCGGACACATCCCTTGAGATCTTACCTACAAACTGATATAAGTGGACCTCAGGCCTCCATGGCTTCAAATGTTTCCAGACGCTTCCCTGAGATGGAGAGCCCAGCCCCTCCCCCATGGGGCCAGCTCCCTCTATTTATGTTTGCACTTGTGATTATTTATTTATTATTTATTATTTATTTATTTACTGATGAAAGTTATTTATTCAGGATGTTGGGTGTCCTGGGAGACCCAACACAGGGGCCGCCTTGGCTCAGACATGTTTTCTGTGAAAATGGAGCTGAACTTTAGGCTATTACCACCTGGCCTCTCGGCCTCTGTGCCTCCTTTTGCTAATGTTTTGAAAAAATATTTATCTGATCAAGGTGTCTAAACAATGCTGATTTGGTGACTGACTGTCACTACATCACAGAACCTCTGCTCCCCAGGGGAGTTGTGTCTGTAACCGCCCTACTGGTCAGTGGCGAGAAATAAAGTGTGCTTAAGAAAAGAAACATGGTCTCTTTCTTGGAATTAACTCTGCATTGGGGGTGGGAGGCTGCTCCCTGAAGTCCTCTTCCACCAGGCTTAAGATCCATGGACCCAGTCTTAACTCCCTGGACTGCTGGGGCTCCGGAGACCCTACAGAAAACAAAGCTCAACCAGATATGCCCCACCCCCAGGAAACTGAAGCCTGAACCTAATTACCTTTCCCTCAGGACATGGGAATTTCCAACTCAGGGAATTCCAAACCAGTGGGGAAGTCCTGCAGCTCAGGTGCTCGGGTGAGATTTCCGGCTGTTGCCCGTGAAAGAAGACGGGGAGGAGCCATGTTCTCTGACACCTGAATCATAGCCAAGGGACTTCCAGACATTCAAGCATCTTGCACTCCAGATCACACTCTGGGAGCCCTCCAGCCAACCCTTGCCTAACTGTGCAACCTGAACCAGTCACTGAACCTCATCTATCAGATGGAGATAAGAATGCCCAGCACATATGGGACTACAAGAGAAGAGAAGATATAAGCTACCTCAGGGCACTTAGCATAGCACGTGGCAGGGTAGGCACTCAGTGAATTCTGGCTTTTTTCCTTTATTCAGCCCCCAGCCATCCTATCCCCTTCCATCTCTCAGTGGGTGGAATTGAAGAGATAGAAGAAAATAACAAACTCGGAATTAGATGTGGCTGAAGGGTTCATATGCCAGCTTGGTCTCACTGATTTTCTTGACAATTGATGAAAGAAGGAATGTGAGGTGGGTGAGTTGGCAAGAGAAAAGCACCTCTTACCCCCAGGAGGCTCTTCTGGGCACAGTCACAAACAAATATGAAGTCAGAAATGGAGGCCCAGAGAATGTGAGCCCACACTGGGCTCGGAAGTTGGGCTTTCTCCCCTGCCACTGCGAAACAGCATGAAGAAATAAAATGGAGTCACTGTCGTCGTCAAGCCACTAAATTACTAAAATCAAGTAGGTTGGGGCCTGAGGAAACAATTCTATTCTTGTTTTAACTAGCCTGAGAACTTAAACTTTTGAACTTTCCT